AGGAAATGGGGGATTTACTATGATGGAATAAGGGTAATTAAAAGAACTTATTAATTTTGATTTAAAACATTTATTTTAAAACTTTAATTCTGGTCAAAGGCTATATTTGCAAAATGTATTATAAAAGTGGATATTTGACCCAATTTCCACTAAGTTTTTTTTAAGGGGGATTCTTTTGATTCCAAAATAAACCGATAAATCGAGTAGAGAATCCGGTTCCTGATTATTACTAACTAAAAATGTAATTAGCACAACGGGTAATTAGAACAAAATGTTCTCACCTCTCAATGTTAGTATGCAAAACGTTCCTACCTTTCATTTTTTGACACTTTCACTCAACCTTCACTTTTTATTCACTCAACCTTCACTTTTTATTGCGAAAATAATTCTTTTCACCAAATTTCTTGTGTAAAATGACAAATTCACACCCCTTCCATTTAAATAAAACAATGAAAAAGAAAAGAAAAGTTAAAGAATGAATTGCAATCATAATTCCAAACATTTCGAATCCAAATAAATTATTAAAAGGGCAATTAGCACAAATCATCCATAACTTTCATTATTATTGTGCAAAACGTCCATATCTTTCATTTTTTAGTATTTTCACCCTTATTTTTATATTTCAATTGAAAATAATTATCTTCATCCATATTTTCAATTAAAAGCTGTAAAATGACAAATATATCCACCTCTTTAAATAAAAAAAAATTGCAACTATACTCTCAAATTTTAAAAAAAGTACAATTAAATTTCAAATAAATAATTATGAAAATCACTTTCTTTTTTAATATTTTATTTGAAATTTATTTATACTCTTTTGAAAATTTTGGGAATATAGTTGCAATTTGTTCTTTATTTTTCTTTTCTTTTTTTAAAGAGGAGTCGATATTCATTTCACAACTTTTAATTGAGAAAATGGGTGAAAAAAAACGATTTTTGTATTGAAAATGGTGAAAATCTCAAAAAACAAAAGGTGGAGACATTTCGCACAATAATAACGAAATGTATGGACGTTTTGTGCTAATTGCATTTTTAATAATTTATTTTGACTCATTTGTACTTTTTAAAAAGTTTGGGAGTATAATTGTAATTTATTCTTTAACTTTTCTTTTCTTTTCTATTGTTTTATTTAAATGGAGGGGGTATATTTATTATTTTACAAAAGTATACACAAGAAATTTGATGAAAATGATTATTTCCTCAATAAAAAATGAAGATAATGGTGAAAATGTCAAAAAAAAAATAATAATAATAATGGCACAAAACATCTTACGTTTCAATGTTATTGTACAAATTGTTCGTACTTTTTTATTTTTTGGTATTTTCACCTATTCATTTTTATCCATTTTCTCAATTTAAAAAAATATAAAATGACAAATATACTCTCTTATTTAAATAAATAAAAAAGGAAAAAATTAAATAATAATAAATTGCAATCATATTCTCAAAATTTTTTAAAAAAATGCAAATTAGTTGAAATAAAATATTAAAAGGGTAATTAGTACAAAATATCACCGCTTTTCAGTTTTTTGGCATTTTTATCCTTATTTTCACATTTTATTTCGAAAATAATCATTTTTATCCTTTTTTCAATTAAAAATGTAAAATGACAAATATACCCTTATATTTAAATAAATAAATAAAAAAAGAAAAGAAAACTAAAGAACAAATTATAACTATTCTTCCAAAATAAAAAAATACAAATAAATTCCAAATCAATATTTAAAAATAAAATTTAAAAGTTCGAAATCCCTTTATTTCCTTTTTACTCTTCCACCACAATACTTATTATCTTTTTTAAATTTTGATTTTTAATTATTTATTTGGAATCTATTTATATTTTTTCTGAAAATTTTGGAATTATAGTTGCAATTTCTTATTTATTTTTATTTTCTTTCATTTTATTTTGTTTAAACAGGAGAGCTTATTCGTCGTTTTACAACTTTTAATTGAGAAAATCAATGAAAATATTGATTTTTGTAATGGAAAGTGAAAATAATGATAAAAATGCTAAAATAATGAAAGATATGGATATTTATAGGTAAGAATAATGTTACTTATATATAATGGAGTTACTTATGATTTACACAGACAAGATGTTAAAAAGAGAGTGAAAAAGTTACTTATATATAACAATCTCGCTACTCAGCCAGGTTTAAAACCAGGCTTGAAAACAGGTATTAAAATATTACTGACGTGGCACGTTAAGGCACAAATTTATTTTTTATTTTTAAAAAGGAGACTGACGAAACCAAACAAAATTTGTTTCAAACCCTTCCTTTTTGTAAAACCACAGAATCGGGACAGCAAAAATGGATAATTTTTCTTGTTTCAAACCCTACCTCCTGCCACCTTGCCTTCGTCAACCGGAGCACAGATCGCTGATTAAAGCACCGGTTGTCACTGTCCAAGAAGAGGGAAAATGGGAATAAAAAGGATCTCATTTATCTCCAACATTTGAAAGCCCAAAAGTCGAGCGGTTTCCCTGTTCTTCCTTCCATAATCTACAGTCGCCGTCAAACCATTGGACCCAGCGACTCCGTCGACGTCTCCTCAGGACGCTGCTTCCGATAAACTGTTCTTAGGTAGTCTGCTTATGTAGTGTTTTAGTTGTGATCTTGTGTAATTTTGGTAACCCCTGTACACTCTACCCTTGTTCCCTTTTCTGGGTTTATTTCCTCTCATCTATCCTAGAAGGTAATACCTAGAAAGTAAATATACAACAAGGTACATCATAGAAGATAATGCAATGGATTTGATGTTCAAGTGCTGTAAATTGATATTGTTGATGGGATAATACTTGCTCTGTCAATGATGTCATGGCACCAACTTGTACTTGTTTGGACACGGCAAAAAGTTCTTTTCTATGGAAAATTGGTTCAAACCATCTTGTTAATATCAAGAGTTATCTGTAAAGTAGTGAGTTGTTTTGCAAATTGTGTACAAATTATTAAAAAACAATTGTTTCATTCGTTTATAGTTTTGATCTATTGCAACCAATGCTTGGTGGTGATGAGTTTTGGAAGGTTGTACTAACTAGGCAAGTTGATTTCAGTTTTGCATGGCTTGAGTTGATAAGTCATAGAACCTTCATGCCCAAATTACTTACAGTGATGAAGAAATGTCCCGCCTGTTCAAATTTGGGTGAGGATAAGTGATGAAGAGGAGCTCCAAATTTCGGTGAATGTGAGCATTAGGATGGAAAAACGTATTGTAGACGTGAACGCTACAAGGAAATGGCCAGCCTGACTTGAACATAGTTATTCAAGTATTTAAGATATGTTGTAATGTGTATGACTTATATGTCGCGAAACCTTCTGGTAATGTAATTATGTGTTTGTTATCATTGTGAACAAATTAAATCTTCTATGTATTGGTACTTATCAATCTATTACATTTTCCTGGTTGAAGCATACTTTAAATTTCAGTGCAATATTATATTATGGATACGTGAATAGTTTTGCATTTTTCAATTTTTGGAATTATCTTAATTTTTTCTTTTGAGGGTTACACATAATCTGATTGAGTCAAAGCGCTTCAATACCTGATTTTACCTCTTAAAACACATCGGTTGCCTTGTATCCTTGTCCCCTAGTTCCGACTAGCACATGCAAGAAACATTAAAGCCATTAAAACACGTTGGTTGCCTTATAATCTAAACATATAGACTTCCAGTAAGCTGTTTTCAATTCCAAATATTTGACGAACGAGCCTTTTAATATATTAGTGTGTCAGAAAAAAAATCAATTTTCACAAAATTAATTCTAAAAAGTGTCTTCCAAACATGGGCTACATGAGAGAGTATTTGAAACCTAACCATCACTTGGAAACAGATAAGTATAGCAAATAGTAACCAAGTAACAAAGCTATCACGTTCCACTTCATGGATATTACATACATGATACATCACCAAGGGCTATGTTTTTTTTACTTGAGCATTGAACTAATCTACCTGGATATTGTTACAATCGTAAATACATGGTACATCAAGCATTAATTTCATTCACAACTTTCTCATCGATGAGGCCATTAATTTCATCCTTGGCATCAACAAGTTAAATCACAATGCAAAACGAAGCTTCAATTTTGTTTGTAAAATAGGCAGAGTAGTAATTGCCTTAATACTAGGAAATGCCAAAATACATCTTCATTCGACTACTGTGAATTGGAAGTCTACATCATAAAAAAAAAAAAATCCAATGGCCCTCCTATAGGCTGCCACCGTGATCCAATAAATTTTGATAGTAGTTCGATGATGGTTGATCTACAATAGAATACCATAACAAATAGTTAATCATGTGTTCACTACAAAATGAATTTTAAAACCATGTACAACACTTGCTTATACCTTGTGAATTTTGCATGACACTAGCCGCGGATGGAGGGACCAAATTTCCAAAGGGTACATGTTGGGAAAGGGAAAAGGGTGTGGGCATGGACAGTTGTGACAAAGATAATGGTGTCAACATATCATTGGGCAAGTACGATGTTGGGGTTGGCATGGAATATTGTTGAGGCAACTGAAAGTTCATTGCGTCATCCACCATATTCGTATTGTTATTTCTTGGTCGCATAGTAGTGGATGATGTCCCGCTAGACTGCATTCACAGATAATTGCTTAGTTGTAAATTTAAACAATTGCAAATATAAAGCTCAGTTTTCGAGCATGCCTTTGCTTTCTTCGATGCTGTCTCCAATGGGCTTCTTTTTCTAAGCTTCCTGGGCGCACCCTTTCGTCGAGCTAATTGTGGATCAAGTATGCTTCTGCTCGCTGACTTTGACACGTTCGCACAATCATTGGATACCTGCGTGGCAAGCGACGGTATGGGATTACTACCACCACCAGAGCTTGTGGTCATCATATCTTCACATTGCGATTTTATCTACTCCATTATTGCATGTGACCACATTTTGTCGTCTGCAGCAAGGTCTGTCACCTGCGCAAATCCCTTAGACATCCCTTCCTATCTTAATTGTACAGGAGTAGTCTCTAACCCTGCCTAGTTTATTGGAACTCTCATGTGTGCTCTACGAATGTCCCTCTTCCATCTCCGCAAAATATACCGATTCGGAATACATGTAATGTCGTTCCAGTCCAAAACCGCTATTGCATGCCTACAAAGTATTCCCCTAAACTCAAACAAGTGGTAGTTACAAACAACTTTGCAATTATTTCTCACAAATGAGACGACGAAAGTTTTTCTCTTGTGACGACCATCATACATAACAGTCTCCCGTACATTATACGTCGTCTCAGAAGATCCTTCCAACGTAGATATGACGTTACAGTAGACCTTACCCGTGAACTCTTCTTGAACTTCCCGAAATTTCGATATGGTGTAAGCTGATCGAAACCGTTCTTCCATTTCGAACTGTGTTGCACACGGTATCATTTGAGAGAACGACTTGAAATCAGCTTGGAATTCCTTCTCGACCTTATTCCCGAGAGCACGTTCGTACTGTTCGACGAATTGCTTCAACGATGTCTTCGAATGCACATATCCATCGAAGAACGCATTCATACTCTCGCTTCTCTATGTTGTTGACATTCCTGCCCAAAAAGTCATTCTCAAAAAATAAGGCACCCAACGCCCTCTATTCTCATATAATCCTGACAACCAATTATTTTCTTGTAAACTATAGGTGTTAATCATCGCCATCCAACCTTCTTCAAATTCTTGTTCCGACTGTGAATCATACACTAATCCATATATAGCCCCAAATATCAAACCCTTTATCCATGTGGTATCCAAACTTTTCCGGGAGCTTCTTTAAAATATGCCACAAACACCATCTATGCTTTGTCTTCGAGAAGATAATCTCAATTGCATTTTGCATGGCTCTATCCTGATTGGTAATTATGGCATGCAGAACTTCACCATATATACACTGAAGCCATGTTCTGAACAACCATACAAAGGTCTTAGTGTCCTCATTCGACAGCAATCCACAACTAAGTAATGTTGACTGTCCGTGATGATTGATGCCAACAAAGGGGACGAATGGCATCTCATATTTATTAGTAAGATAGGTGGTATCAAAAGTAACTACATCACCAAACTCCTTGTACGCTAGCATGCACCGATTATCTACCCAGAATACGTTTCTCAGTCGTGAATCGTCATCCAAATCCATACTGAAATAAAATCCCGAACATTGAGCTTGCATTCTTGAAAAGTATAATTGTATTGCTGCAGCATCGCCCTTTCCAAGTCGTAATCGCCTAACTCGTTCGACATAGTTCCGACAATCCTTTTCGATGCAAGTCATATTCTCATATCCACTAACTTCCACAACTGTGGAATTGTAACTCTTATGCAATGGAATCCTTGCTCAAGCTTCCTTTTCACATGTGCAGTCAAAGTTCGGTTGCATCGATATAACCTGGACTTAGATGGACTTGTCTCATGATTGTGCTCTAGGTGGATCGCGTTAATTCTCCAATTTCCCAGGTGAAGATGCAGATATCCTTGCTTTACAACCCATCTTAACTGTTGGTTGTGGCTTCAGTGAACTACTAGTATTACCACTTAATCGTCCTTCATGACTACATGTTAACATTGGGTATCTCAATACTCCGTCCTCCCCCTTTTTCGAATTTCTTTTTTTCAGGGGAAATCCAATGGCATAAGCATATTTTTTGTAGAAGTCATACATATCTTCTTCATGCTTAAATAGCATACCCACCTCAGGCACCTATAACCCATCTCCCCTTGATGTTTCGTCTTCGACTACATTCACAAACTCCGTAATATTCTCAGTATCGGATTCATCAAAACATCAACAGGCTCATCTTCTACGTCTTCCATACTTTATTTTGCTGCAAAAATAAAAAGGGTTTAGGCAGTAGTATTTGACAAGACCCATAAAAAAATTTCATTACAACAGTAGTTGACAACAACCATTAAAAATTTCATTATGAATGTGTTCGTATATTTTAAGGTTGTACTGTCCTAAGATTGAATGGAGTACAAAAGATGAAATGGGAGAGAATTTGAGTACCTCTATAATGTGAAATGCTACACGTTTTTAACGCCAATTTTCTTGTTTACTACTTGTTGCTGTCATCATTTTCTTCTTTGAACAGGCAGGCTGCAATAACTCAAGAAAAAATCCCAATTTGGCTCTCTATCTATCTTGTACAATTTCTTTAATTAATATATGACTCAAACAAATTGATTTGAATTCTCTTAATCATATCTACATCACCAGTTTCATATTTTAAGATGATAAGTGAGTGAACAGATGAAAGGTTAATTAATAAGATTATTAAAAGACTACAGTAAGTTAATATAATGCACAAACCGGTGACTTTGTGCTCAGTATGTGAATGAACAAGTACTTATACACATACACAAAAATGGGGCTTATGCTCAGTATGTGAATGAACAAGTAAAAAATAAATTTTATTATGCATTTCCAGGAAAACTAACTGATGGGATTAACAGCAACGTGTAGCATAAACCGGTCGGAGGTGGAAGGACTACCGGTCTACTTGTCGGCGAAGGCGCTCCTATTGGGGATGGGTGTTCCAGTCGGCCAAGGCACTGCGGCGAGAGGGGGGTGACGAGAGAGAGGGAGGGAGAGAGGGTGGGTTTGGAACATTAGCTTTTTCTTTTTGATTTTCCCGCTTTCTGGTTTTGCCTCTTTCGCTTTCTTTCTTTTCTGTTTTTTTTTATTGTGCAATAAGTGCCACGTCAGCAAAAATTCAAATCCCTGTTTTTATCCCTGGTTGACTAGCATTATTCTATATATAATGGAGTTACTCATGGTTTATACACATACAAGATGTTAAAAAAGAGAGTAAAAAAGTTTAATCTATTATTTGGTTAAAAAAATTCTAATTTAATTATATCTCACCACATCATGTATATGTAAATCATTATTTATAGGTAACACGACCCTTGTAATAAATCATGTAACAAGTTATATACTATTTTTTTTTACCTATTTTTTTTTTTTTTTCAAAAAGCTCAATTGCTTTCTCATTTTCATTTTTTCATTTTCTTATTCATCCATCCTCGATAAATTAAATTTATGTCGATTTTTTTCACTACATAATTTACATAAATATTACATTTCCAATTTTACACTAATATATTTTTATTATTTTTGCGTATATATTTTTTTCTTCTATAAAACTTTCTCGTAAAAAGAGAAAAGAAAATCAACCCTAATGAATAAAAAAAATTACAAATGAATTCTTAATACCTTTAAGTTGCAAAATTACCAAACCTTAAATTAAATTTTAACTACGACAATAACAGCTAATGTCAATATATAATCTTATTAATTGTTTTCAATTTTTATCCAATGATCGAATATTATTAATTAAATGATAGAAATTAATATTTTTTTATTTATCTTACAATGTTAGAAAAATCAAATGAAAGTATTTTCTATATTTTTATATTTTATTAACTTACTAACATTAGTTTTCCTAAATTTGAAGCTACAGTTTGAGAAGATAATAAATTATATAAATCTCACACAAAAAAATATCCTTCAAAAAGGGAAAAAAAAATATATATATATATATATTGGAGACTATTTAAGTAATTATTTTTGTGAATTTCATGATTTTTTATCAATTCTTATGGAGTTAACAGAAGTCTTTCACAAACTTTTAAAAACTTTCATTTAAAATAGAAGAGGAAATTGCAAGAAATTACCATTTTCACATGGTTATTTGCGAAAATGTCCAAAATTTCTTCAATGCCAATTTTGTAATAATTTAGACCAAAATACCCTTAATGACAATTTCAAATTCCATTACAAACAAAATTATAAATTATGTTAGCAAATAGAAATTTGACGCATAATCTATACTACCTACTTCAAAAGTACAAGTATCAATTCATACATTAAATGACTTTTCTCAAGAGCGGGTCAACAAAACCAATCTAAAATGTAGATTTTTTGGTTTGCCCATCAAAATCGTAAAAACCACTTGACCCAACCCATAAACTTGACCCGATCCAAAAAATAAAAAAAATAAATAAAAAAAATAAAAAAATCAAAACACCTAGAATCATGAAGAAAAAATGCATGATTATAAAAGCCCTACTCTCTCTCTCTCAACTTTGAAACTTTTTCACAAGTTGGTCGCTGGTCTCCCACAGCCAGTCAGTGGTGAATCTCTTCCAATTTTTGCTAGAATCGCAGCGAAGTGGTAGCTATTGACTGTTAATTCTTAACTTTTTTCAATAACTTTGTTCTTTCTTTAATTTTTTCATGGGCATTTCGTTGTTTGACGTGTTCCATTGTTGATTAATGTGTTAAAAAATTGGTATAATTTATAGTGAGGGTGATGGGTTTTTTCTAACTGCTTTAGGGTTATTAACAATTTGATGATTTTACGCGATGTTTGGTTGTTTATTTTTTTTTACCGATCATTCGAATCAACCATTTTATTGAAAATCCAAATTATTCAATGCACTTTGCATACAAATTGATAAAGTTGTCATGTGAAATGTTTCGAGGGTAGAGAAAAAGCAGCTGAAACTTTACACTCTTCTTTATATTGTTCTTCAAGGAAATTGTCATTAAGGGTATTTTGAGGATTTTTTTTAATCGATTAATTGGGAAGTTTCAATTTGAAGAGTTTACTGAACCAGGGTATAATAGAAAAGTAGCATTTATTATAAAGCTTTTCAAGGGAACTTGATTTCAGAAAGTGTGTTAATTAAATGGGGTTGCTCAAAGATGTAAAATTCTTTGGAAAGACTTGACTTTGGTGAGTTCAAGGTGCACAGTGGTTTAACAAAAAGGACTTCTCAAAAGGCTAAAGTTTTAGAAATTTCAAGTGTTTCAGAAATCCTACTAGCTCTATTTCAGTATCACCTTATATTTATACCCAGCTCCTCTAAATGTCTTGCAAACTATAGCCCTCGCACCCTGAAAGAAATCCCTCCAATGAACACTTCAATAAATCTATTTTTATTGAATAGTCTGAGTTTGCTATACGAAACATATCTCCATGAATACTTCGATCTAATTTCCACCAACTTGACTAAAACATCCTCTTTTACCAGTTTAGTGAAAGATCCAAGAATAATGAATGATTTAGTTATAAATTTTTCCTATTAGCATAATACTTTGAAGACCCCCTTTCATGTGTTTTCAACAATTTGATTGCAAAATTTATCTTCTTTAAACTATTACAGCATTAAAAACTTTCCACCTGCTGAACTGTTAGATAGACATTTCTTAGCTGTTAACATTCGACTTCTCCAAAATCTCCAAAACAAGCCCTTTTTATCCGTTTGAACTTAGGCAAGTTTCAACTTTATCACACGAATCAATATATTCAAAACTGCGAACAATTTGATATAAATCTATTGTCTAATTAAGAGAGCTTCCAAAGACCCCAAGTTCTGTACAATTTCTAAAATCAAGTTATTTCAATATTTTATTGAAAATTCATCTTTTAAACAGCAACTTTCCTGTAAGTTCCTCAAATTCAAGTGTTTTGAACAATCACATGGAGAATTTGTCTTTACCTGCATTGCTTCATTAAAATTTAAAGGATCAATGCATGTTAAATTATTAGATTGAGATCCCACTAGTCAGGCAGCGCCATTTTAACTCTTTAAAATCAAGTCTTTTGACTATCATGAACAGGGTGCATTCTCTCAATGACCCTGTATATTTTATATTTTTAATTGTGAGCATTCTATTGTTGACATTACCTCCATATCAAGAATTTCAATCCTTAATCAGTTAGATAGCAGCATCTTGGTACCATCACTAGTATGAAAACCCAATTCCTTGTCGACTTCTGATCAACTAAAATAATTGTATTATGCCCAACCGATAGCTATTTTTCATCCTATCATACTTCCCTTTTTTCCTGTGAAGAAGGAAGGAACATTAGACATTCGCTCCTCTTGTTTTATTATTACTTCTGTTCCACTCTAAACATTGGAGTAAGGCTTGCAAGATTCAACTGACTTTCAATGAGAATCTTGTTTATGACATGAATGGCTTTAAAAAAACAAGGTCTCTGTCTGCTTCACTGCCATGGTGCATAATGCTTTCAGTCATTCAATTATTCTTGTAGCCCTAAACTTTGATTATGCTTATTGTCATTAGTACCTCTCATGTAATAAAAATGAAGATCGCCATACTTTGACAGCTTTGCATACATGTTTGAAGCTATTTCAGTGTTATTCATATAATTATCCTGAATTATTGCTTTTTGATTTTATATTCTGGCAATATCTTTGACTCTTGTTTGGTCAATATCATAGTGACTTTTAAAAAAAGGTTTGTAATCGTTCTGAATTCCAAACTGTATAGTTGACAATGCGCTGCTTGGTGTAATTTCGAAACATTATCATTTACAAATTTGCAATTGGTGTACAGTTAATAATTGTCAGGCCATTATCATATGGTTTTGTGTGTTAGTTTTTATGAATATATCATGTTTGCATTCGAGTTAATCCTTAGTCTTACATTATGATTAACTGTTAGTTAGATACCAAAATGAGTAGAACGATTTTTACCATGACATGTCCATGCCTTTTCTTTTTGGTTTCTTTGTCCAATTATATAAGAATGTAGATTCTTCATGTTTCCATTTTCTTACACATTAAATCAATATCATTTACTAAGATATTGCTACATTATGTAATTATCAGGGTTACATCTTTCAATGTCGGAAAACATGATGAAATATTATTTTTCTTTGTGATTTCATATATTTATTATGCTATTTTGAGTACTTAATAGATTCTTATATTATTTGTCATGTTCGTTTCTTGTTATTTGTAGATGAGTTCCTCACATAGATACAAAATTTCAGAGGAAGAGCGCATTTTGGCCCAGGTTTCGATGGGCAACACCAAATATATATCAATTGTCCTCAACAAATTCAATGCACAACTGATGAGTGTGTTTTACTTACGAGTTTATGCAAATTTTAACTTGATTTTAAGCTAGAATTCACGAGTATAAAACGTTTTTAATGTGTGTATTAATGTTGTTTTATAGGTTTGTCGAGATGGCGAAGGATATGAAAAAAGATCATTAAATTGAAGTTAGTGGCATGGACAAAAAAGAAGTTGTGACACAGGGGCAAAAATTAGACAAAGCAAAGATGGGACGAATGGGGCACCAAAAAGCAAGAAATCAAGAAGAACCAGAGTGTGGGCACCGCAGCGCCACATTCAGGACGCTGTGACGCCCCACCTTGCGTCGTGGCGCCGAGACACAAAAAAGGGTGGCGCCCCATCAAGTGACGCGGTGGTGCGACGCCGCACACAGGATCGCTAGGGCGCAAATTTTGGGACCGTTTTGGAGCCCATGCGAGAAACCTATTATTCTCACACGGCAAGGGACCTATAAATACGTTTTTTCTGAGACTTTGAGGGGAACTACTCATTCTTGAGGCAAAAGAACACTTCCTGGGAGAAAGGGGGAGAGATTTAAAGGGAGAAGACAACGTCAAATTCATCGTGTGAAGTATAAATTGGAAGAAGAATGAGTTCTTGGTGCAAGATCCACCTTTTCTTCTACATACTTAATTCTAAATTCGGTGATGTACTCTAAGACAATTTGTTGTTGTTCATCTTTTATTATGCATAGCTAAATCCATTGTTATGGCGAATAATGTAACCCATTTGAGATCTTTTATATTTTATTATTAAGATTCTTGATTTCTAATTTTTTCGTATATTGATTTTTGCTATGAATTGATTGCATTAAATTATCTGATCAATAATTTGATGAATTTTGTGAATCTTTTACGAATAGAGATATGAGTCTAGGATTTAGACCATATAGTAAAATTCAGTACATTGTTATAGCGAGTAGAGATACCTATGCCATTTATTGAGGTCATAATTGAATTCTTAGAATAAAGAACTCGTTTAACTAAATTAAATATGTATAAAGATATAGAATTTAATTAGTTGAATAGACTCAATAAGAACTCGAGATGGGTAAATTGAATACAATAGGAGAATTCGATCGAACACTATATTAGAATTGTGTCTTAATTTGAGATGTAAAGGTGATCAATATATGAAATTATTCTGCCTTAACGTCCTTTAATTATTTAATTTTACAAAAAATTTGTGTGAGCATTCATTTATTTTCTAGATTTTAGATTAAAGCTCAAATCATTGAAATCATACAACTTTTAATTTGTTTCCATCAAATAGTAATTAAAGAAAAATTGAATTAGGTGCTAGAAAATAATCCTTGTGGGATCAACAATCGGGACTCTTAGGTCCACTATTACTTGTTACCATTTGTACACTTGCGAAATTAAAATTGACAACAAGTTTTTGGCGCTGTCGCCTGGGACTATTACTTTTAGTCTTAATTTATTTTTATTTTTAACTGTTATTTGATTTGTTTATTTTTTTATTTACAGAAAATTGTGTTCATTGTATGCTCCATACCCAAGGCGACGATCTTGAACCATTTGATTCGGAGATAGAATGTACATTCAGAGGAAGACGCAAAGAACACAAACAAAAACAACAACATTAAATGGCTGACAATCAACAAATCATTATCCCTATTTAGCCGATTGGACAAATGGCCGCAAGAGTGGGCACCACCGGAACAACAGCATGAGCGAGGGAAAATAAATGAAGGTGATTTGTTAGTATCAATGTTCCTGACACCTATAGCAGCACCCATGCACTCTAGTATTGTGTATCCAGATTAGGCCACATTGGATCAACTTGATGAGCAATACCCTGCAATTCTACGAGCTACTTCATTAGAATCCAAACACGCATATCTCTAGATTTCTCAGAAACTGTCAGAACTTTGATACTCAGGAGGTCAATGAAAATGTTATTAAACTACGACTATTCCCATTTACATTGAAAGATGCTGCATAGGAGTGGTTAGATGCAGAGCCTCACACCATCATTACTACATGAAAATAACTAATCAGGAAATTCTGCAATAAATTTTTCCCATCGGCGAGAGTAACTAAAATCAGATTGGAGATTCAAACTTTTCAACAGAAAGAGGGAAAAAGCTACCACAAGGCACAATAGGTTTAATGAGATGATGAGAAAATGCCCAAACCATGGAATTACTATAGGTAATCAAGTGCAATACTTCTACACTGGACTTACACCATTGTCAAAATCTCAAGTTGATGCCTCAGCTGGTGGCTCAATTATAGGAAAATCTGTGCAGCAAACCATGGAACTGTTTGAGTTGATTGCCACTACACATTCAATGTTCTCTCGGAGAGAGTGGTACCACAGAAGATAGGGAATGTATGAGTTAGACAGTACAGCAGCTACCAACGCCCAAATAGCAGCACTAACAAAACAAGTGGAGTTGTTGGTGAAATCACAAACAAAAGGAGCACATGCAGTAACAACCAGTCCATCATGCGAGAACTGAGGGGCTAATCATCTGACAGAAAACTGTACATCTATAGGCTATCCCAAGGAACAGGTCAATTTCATTCATAATGGATCTCGAAATTTTAATCCATTTGCTCAAACATACAACCCAGGATGGAGACTACACCCAAATTTCAGATGGTCAGATAATCAGCAAGGGAACAGTTCAAACAACGCCCAATAGGAAAAAAATCAGGTTTTGGAGAGATGTTCAACCAGTATATACAGAAGACAGACAAGGTGTTCCAGCAGATTAACACTAACTTTCAAAATCAACAAGCATCCGTCAAGAAGTTGGAAATACAAATTGGTCAAATAGCTCAACAGCTTGCAGAACGTCCACAAGAGACATTACCAAGCAACACAATGGTCAATCCAAAAGAGCAAGTGCAAGATGTTACAACCAAAAGTGGGGTGCAGCTTCCTGAGACATATGTAAAGAGACCAGAGCGAAAATATAAAGAAATAATGGGTGAAGAAGCTGGTACAGAAGTAAAGTCTGAACAACCAACTAACGAAGGGGACAAAAGGAAAGAAACACCTGCAGTAAGAGCACCCAACCCTGAGAAAGCTTAGGTGCCACCAATTCCCTTTCCTCAAAGGTTATAAAGAAAGAAGTTGAACGATCAGTTTGCCAAATTTGTAGAGATTGTCAAGAAACTGCACATCATATTCCATTTGCAGATGCAATTGCACAAATGCCCGGCTACACAAAATTCTTGAAAGAGATCCTATCTAACAAAAGAAAGCTGGAAAAACATGAGACAATCTGCCTGAACGAGGACTATTGAGAAAGCTACCTTCTAAACTAAAAGATCCAGGGAGTTTCACGATACTTTGCACAATTGGTTCTAATTATTTTGAACAGTCTTTATGTGATTTGGGTGCTGGTGTTAACCTTATACCTCTCTCTGTTTACAGGTCTCTTGGGTTGGAAGAAGTAAAACCTACAACAATCTTTTTGCAACTGGCCGACAGATCAATCAAACGACCGAAGGGAATTATTGAAGATGTGCTAGTCAAAGTTGACAAATTCATTTTTCTGGCTGACTTCATTATTTTGGACATGAAGGAGAATTCAAACATTCATCTGATCTTGGTAAAACACTTCTTGGCTACTGGAAGAGCGCTGATTGATGTTTATGATGGAAAGATGATTCTTCGGGTAGACAATAAGCAAGTCATATTCAACGTGTTCAAGGCGATGAAACATCCATTGACTTCGAACATTTACTGCCAAGTAGATCTTCTTGAAGAGCTTGTGGTAGATATAATAGAGATAGAGCGTCGAACAAATCTTTGTGAGGCAGAACTTCCGCAATCGAAAGTAACAAATGCAGAAAAAGCTGAATGTGTTGTCAACTTGGTCTAGCAACCAATAGGAAGAAGACATTGGTAATATGAATCTTTTGGTGACAACCTTTCATCCCCAGTACTCTCAGTGGAAAAGGCACCCACTCTTGATCTAAAGCCCTTACCTTCACATCTCCATTATGCTTATTTGGGAGACTCTGTAGCACTTCTAGTAATCATTGCGAATGACATGACAAGGGAAGAGGAGAATAAATTGTTGGAGGTACTCAGACAGCACAAAACTCTGTGCAACTCTGTGCATGCATAAGATTTTAATAGAGGACGGGTCAAAGCCATCAGTGGAAAGACAACGCAGATTAAACCTAACCTTAAAAGAAGTAGTGCGAAAAGAAGTGCTGAAATTACTGGATGCAAGAATAATTTTATCCCATATATGATAGTTCACGGTGAGTCATGTACATGTTGTGCCTAAAAAGGTGGAATCATAGTGGAGAAGAACGAGAATAACGAGCTAATACCAACACGGTTAGTGACAGGGTGGAGAGTGTGTATAGATTATATGAAGCTAAATAATGCAACCAGAAAGGACCATTTTCCATTGCCATTCATTGATAAGATGATGGAGATGTTGGCAGGATATTCTCATTATTGCTTTCTGGACGGATATTCAGGGTACAATCAGATAGTAATTGCTCCAGAAGACCAAGAGAAGACAACCTTCACATGCCCTTATGGAACTTTTACGTTTAGAAGAATGCCTTTTGGTTTATGCAATGCACCGACAACCTTTCAACAATACATGATGGCTATCTTTTCAGACATGGTAGAAAAGTACATTGAGATTTTCATGGACGATTTTTCTGTGTTTGGAGATTCATTTGAAGATTGCTTGGATCGGTTGGCTCTTGTATTGCAAAGATGTGAGGAGAAGAACCTCGTGCTTAATTGGAAAAAAATGTCATTTCATGGTTAAGGAAGGAATAGTACTGGGACATCGAATTTCTACACAGGGCATCAAGGTGGACAGAGCCAAAATACAGGTGATTGAAAATTTGCAGCCACCTAAATCAGTAAAGGACGTCAGGGATTTTTTGGGACATGCAGGTTTTTATAGAAGATTTATTCAAGACTTTGCAAATATTACAAAACCGCTGTTCAACCTACTGGAGAAAGAAGTACTGTTTCATTTTTTTATGAGTATTTGAAAGCTTTTAACACTTTGAAAGAAAAATTGACATCAACACCTGTGATAGTGGCACCAGATTAGGAATTTCCATTTGAGCTCATGTGCGACGCCAGTGACTTTGCAGTGGGGGCAGTGCTTGGACAACGCAAAGGAAATGTATTTCATGTTATCTACTATGCCAGCAAAACATTGACAGACACTTAAATTAACTATACAACAACTGAAAAGGAAATGCTCGTAGTTGTTTTTGCTTTCGACAAATTTCGTTCTTATTTGATTGGGTCCAAGGTGATCGTTTATACAGATCATGCAGCTTTGAAGTATCTGTTTTGAGAAGAAGGTCGCAAAACCAAGTCTGATTCGATGGGTTCTATTGCTGCAAGAATTTGACATCGAGATTCATGATAAAAAAGGAATAGAAAATCAGGTAGCGGATCATTTATCAAGGATAGAACAACCGCAGGATTTAGATGACATGAACATTAATGAGGTCTTCCTAGATGAACAATTATTATAAATAGAGTAGGCTTCGTGGTATGCAGACATTGTCAACTACTTAGCAAGTGGCTATATGGATCCAGATCTCACCTATCAACAAAAGAAGAGGCTACTTCATGAAGTGAAGTTCTATTATTGGGATGAACCAAATTTATGCAGATGAGGGACATATTAGATCGTTAGGAGATGCATGCCAGAGGATGAGATGAAACCAATCATTTCACAAGTACATGCTTCGACTTATAGAGGATATTTTGGCCCCACCAAAACAGTAGCAAAGGTG